CTCTCTCTCTCTCAGGCTCTGTGCTGTAGTGACTGTCTCTCTCTCAGGCTCCGTGCAGCAGTGACGGTCTCTCTCTCTCAGGCTCTGTGCAGTAGTGACTCTCTCTCTCTCTCAGGCTCCGTGCAGCAGTGACTGTCTCTCTCTCAGGCTCCGTGCAGCAGTGACTGTCTCTCTCTCTCAGGCTCTATGCAGCAGTGACTGTCTCTCTCTCAGGCTCTATGCAGCAGTGACTGTCTCTCTCTCAGGCTCCGTGCAGTAGTGACTGTCTCTCTCTCTCATGTCTTCCTTTGCTCTAACCCATCCTCTGGGGTCACCCCCCCTGTTTCTGAGCAGACGGCAGGTCTCTCCAGCCCTGCGAGATGCGCTGAGGACAGCGGTCCCGCCCGGGAGATGTGTCCAGCGTGCCGGCAGGAGCCCGCGAGGCCGTGACGCGGCGCCGGTGCCTCTCGGCGGCAGGGAGGATGTGGAGAGGGCAGGCGTGTGCGCAGGTTTCTCGAAAGCGGAGCGAGGAGAGGGGTGACGGGGGCGCTGAGGTTCCTGTGGTCGACCTGCCTGTCTGCAGAGACGTGCAGCAGAGCAGCAGAGCAGCAGAGTTGTGCTTTCCAGCAGCAGCCCAGGACGGCGCAGCTCCCTGCCTATCGGCTCTGGGCTACAGCGCAGCAACTGAACTGAATAGCGGACCGGGCTGTGGTACAGTAAAGTGGACCGAGCCCGACTGGTGGGAGTTGACAGCAGGCCGTGGACCCTATGGACTGGGCTGCATCATTTTGGCCTAGAGTCCAGTATGATGGATTGGGCTGTAGTTGAGCCATTGGGACTGGACTGTACCATTGGGACAGGGGTGTAGCATGTTAGACTGGACTGTACCATTGGGACAGGGGTGTAGCATGTTAGACTGGACTGTACCATTGGGACAGGGTTGTAGCGTGTTAGACTGGACTGTACCATTGGGACAGGGGTGTAGCGTGTTAGACTGGACTGTACCATTAGTACAGGGTTGTAGTGTGTTAGACTGGACTGTACCATTGGGACAGGGGTGTAGCATGTTAGACTGGACTGTACCATTGGGACAGGGTTGTAGTGTGTTAGACTGGACTATGGTACAGGGTTGTAGTGTGTTAGACTGGACTGTACCATTGGTACAGGGCTGTAGCGTGTTAGAACGGACTGTAACGTTGGACCAGGTTGTAGCATGTTAAGACTGGACTGTACCACTGGGACAGGGCTGTACTGTGTTAGAACAGACTGTACCACTGGGACAGGAACTGGAGTAAAGAATCAGTCCTGGACCCTGCAGAGGTGGTTTTGAACCAGTTTTAATGAACCCTGATTACAGTTTAATTACAATTCAAGAGAAAGAGGAGGAAGGTGAGAGATGAAGGTGGAATATCAGGAGTTAGTCTCCCCCCAGGGAGGGAGGGGGGCAGCTTGAAAAGAGGAACAGAGTAGATCTGGCGAAAATGATAGACCCCTCCCTCCCTTGACCAACACAAATTAAACACACAGGAACAGGGAGCTGGAAAATAAACTTCCAAGGAGACGAGAGGGCCCAGGGCTCCGGGCGCCCCCCTCCACCCCACGCCCTCCCGGCTTCAACGCCATAACGACCGGGCCGCGAGGTCGGGGGGGGGTCATCACCGGGGGCGGCCAGGCGCCGGCCAACAGCAACAACAACAACAACAATAATAATAAACAACAAGAATAATAATAAAACAGCAATATTGACAATACCAGGAGGAAATTAAACAAG